CGAGTTCGAGCCTAACACAATTTCAACGAGCTGAGCTCAAATAACCAAGTATTCTGCTCGGTTCAGCTTTAACCCACCCCTATTTAGGGGTGGACATTCTACTTGGTTGTTGAGATGGTTAGGTTGGTTGGTTAAGGGTTCTAGGTCCTGATCTTTTTATTGAGATGCTACACATTCGTGAATTGGTAGGGTGAGGAGATCTTTAACTCGACATTGGAGGCTTTGGAACTGCTCCTACGTGATGGGCTTGTTCTCTCCTTTTCTACCTATGGAGGGTTTGGTTGTGGTTGGTTCTTTGTGACCATGGAGACTTGCTAAGAGTGAGACATGGCTTATAAATCTTGCTGGTGTGGGTGCAAGTCTTCAAAAGAATGGTTGTTAGGCTTTTCTATTGGTTTCCATGAATGACGCCAATATGTTGCGGTCAAAACCTGAGAAACAAATAAGAGGGAGGAGTTTGGGATTCAGATGAGCCAATGAGATATTGTGTGAACCAAGCTACTTTCAAAGGCAACTAAAAGAAAGATAGAGTCCCAAGGTGTGCCCCGGGGGATAACTCTCCAATGCTTAAGTTAGTATGTGAGCAATGGATCATTGGACCAAATATAGGAGTCTAGGTCGGTAAGGAAAGCAAAAGGACGAGGTGAGGGCTGAAGGAGTGCTATAGTGTGCATATCTTTTCTTTGGGGTGTCTTACCTATTTATAAAGGAGTTTGTCATGCTTGTTGAGGATTTCTAGTCCTATTGGGAGATGGCAGCCAGGCTCGGCTTGAGCTTCTTGGTGATTGTCTTTATCTGGATTTTGGTGTGTTAGAGGATTTCGAGTGACACTGGTTGGCCATATTAGTTGTTGGGACGGTTTGGGTCATCAACAAGTTTTTGAGCATTCAATTTAGGGACACATGGAGCCTCAGGATTTGGCCACACAAATGGGCCTATTGCTTAGGAGAATCAAAATTCAATTCCCATTCCTCTCCCTTGAGAATGAGAATACCATTCCATCCTATTCAAATTCCGATCCAAATTCCCATCTAAACCAAATGGGCAGTCTAAATCCGATTCCAACTACGAACAAAACGACCCTTACAAAGCTCAAAAGATGTTGCCACATGTTTAACTTGAGCAAGGAATGCTTTATCCATCTAGCTGGTATAACCACATACTTCATTTAACTTATAATGGTAGCTACATCAATAATCTCACTCTTTGGATTTTAAGGGATTAAGCCATCTTTGAGGCTTTCAAAACCACTTCCATTTTGCTTGGACCAGTTACCATTTAGTGTATGGTTCCTCTACTATTGCAATGAACCTTTTTGTTTTGATCAAGGATAACAAAACCATAAGAAACATCATGCAAACTTCTATGTGAACCTCCACTTATGAAAATATTAAAAAGGTGATGCAATAAATCTACAAATGTACTCTTTTCAGAACAATGTTGTGCGGGATTCCAATTTAGGTCTAAAACGTGGTTACTACTAAACTCTTATTAATGTGGTGTAGCACTTGCTATAATTAGGGTTGTTTAGTTCAAAGACCATATTGTTAATTTCTTCCCACAAATAACATAGACTTGTTACTAATTTAGCCAACAGATATTCCTTTGTTTCTTTATCTTCATTGACCTTGTTCCATCATGATTACGTAACACTCATGGTTGAATTTCCAAGCATTCTATCTGGTTTAATCCCACGTAAACCTGCAACCAAATTGCTTTAGCAAAGGTGTATTTAGATAGAAGATGGAAGGTGATGCTGCTCAATCCGAGTTGGTGCACGAACTGAGGAGAGCAACTAGATAGTCCTTGCTGGCAGGGCAGGGCCGAACTACAAGGATAAGGCTGCGCTTCAAGACCTGTGATCATGAAAGGAGAAGTTAGAGGCCCGAGGAGTTATCCCCGGGTAAGTACTCCGACGCTTAAGTCAGTAGGAGGTGGTATGTAGTCGGGCCGAACTATAAGGATGCTGGTCCGAGCTAAGTATCAGTACGGGTGTTAGAGAAGTTGGATCCCTTACCTTGAGCATGGAGTACCTTTTAATGGCCGAAGATCCGTGTCCTGGTCAGATTGGGCTTTCGGGGTTGTCAGGATGAGGTTAGTCGTCGAGGTATTCGGGATAGAGTCCCATTTCTCAGCGGATTCGTCTTCCTTACTCATCTTTATCCGTAGTTGTGTTCATCCATGTGTCGTGTAGCTGACATGGATGAAAGGATAAGATGGGGGGCCACAATAATAGTGTAGCTCGGTCGAACTATGCCGACGTGGCTGGGCGGCCACGTGTCTCTCAGGACCAGCTCAGCCATGACCCGAACAAAAGGTATTCTCCTCATAATTCCCACACATTGGGCAATTAGAGTAACTCTCCTCTTTTGAAAAGTTTGGATTTAGTTGGAATTACTTCTTAAAGAAATTGCCCAAGAAAATGTGAATTATTGAATTCTATAAGGAACTTTGATCCTCTCTAGATCTCCTATCTAGAAACTAGTCTCACATATTCCAAAATTTGCTCTATATTTTGCCCATACACAAGCTCCATGGTATGGCTCCTTGTAAGGTCCTAGAGGCTGAATTCATTGTAAAGTCATTGTTGAGTTTGTAACTACCTTTGCACATCGGGAACATTTGTTGTACTTTGAACATGGCTAGCAATATGTTGTGATAAGATTTGTACTCTATCACCATTTCTTGTCAGGGTAAATTGTAGATTAGTACTTTGTACTTTGGGACTAGTCTCACTTTGGTATGCAAATTTCAAAACATGCCATTCTAGTACCTAAACTTCCGAAAAGTGCCATTTTAGTCCCTGTTGTTAGTAGCTTGTCAGTTACCTCTATCACATGATGACATGTGCGACTTAAAACTTTTGAAAATATCAAAATTACCCTTCAAAATAAGATACTATTCATCATCTTCTTCTTCAATAATCAAGACTGAACCAAAGCAATGTTGAACAACCCCAAAGCCACCACCAATCCATCTTCTCTATTCTTTCTATTATTCTCTCTCTTCCCCTCTCTTTTTCTTCTTCTTCTTTCCTATTCTCTCTCTATTATTTTCCTTGGGATACAAAATGCTTCCTATGTTCAGCTGGCCTTTGCATTAGAACGAAGTCTTTTATAGAGAGAGAGTAGTTGGAACGTATTCCACCTTACCTTATGCCTTCGAATAGGTACTTGATATACCCTTCATTAAGAAAATCAACAAAGTATGTACTGAAATTTTATTCTAAGAGGAAAATAATCGTCACCTTTGAGTCCTTACTAGAATATTTATTTCCTTTTCTTGTAGGTGATGATTGAGATTCCACATATCTTTGTACAAGTAGTGGTACATGGGGCCATAGTCTATGGCTCTATGCTATGATTGGATTTGAATGGACTGTTTCCAAATTCTTTTGGTACCTCTTCAGGTTCTATGGTATGATGATAGTGGGTGTAACTCCAAACCACAATGTTACTGCCATAGTTTCATTTGCATTCTATGGAATATGGAACCTTTCTAGTGTCAACTTTTTTTTGAAAAGGTAGAGATATTAATGCCTTTTCTGGTTGTTTGCAGAGGATGCCCACGTGGTGGAAATGGTAATATTGGATTTGCCCTGTTGCATGGACATTGTATGAATTGGTTGCTTTACAATTTGGAGATATAGAAGACAAGCTTTTAATGGATCAAACAATGAAGGAGTTCCTTAGAGGTTACTTTGGGTTTAGACATGACTTTTTTGATGTGGTTTAAGCTGTGATAATTGGCTTTACGATGCCCTTTACATTCATCTTTGCCTTCTCGATTAGAGCATTCAACTTCCAAAGGAGATGAAGGAAATATTATATGCAATATTTCTTGCTAATGAAGACCAAGCGTTGAAGTATTTGTGGAGACTAAACATTTTTAGGTTGTGCTTAATCTGATTAGACATCAAACATGATACTTCCCGTTGGAGCAAGCGTGGCAATTAGGGACTAAGGGTTGATTGTGGGTTTTGTCGGATTGCTTTTTGATAAATTGGTTTTCTTTATCAACTTCTAAGAAATTTGGGCGTTTGGATAGTTGATAAAGAAAATTAGGTGACACCCAAAGAATATTTGCATCGTTTCACATGCCACACGACAACTAACAATTTTGAACTAAACTTGGACTTTTGGGGCATTCAATTTTGAAAATTTGGGTATTAAAGTGAGATTAGGCTCTAAGTACAGGGTATTAGTCTCAATTATCTTCCACTCCACCTTGTGAATGTGCCCTTAACAAGGATAAGGATGGGTCAACATTAATGTCGTAACTAAGATATCTCTTTAGGTTCTTGTTAAATTTCTGATAGTATCCTGTATTTTAGGCCGAGTGCCAATTTAGTACCTGAATTTTAAAACGCGACAATATAGTACCCGAATTTTCGAAATGCGATAATCTATTACCTTTCGTTAATCAGCCATTAAGTATCATGGAGAAAGACACAAATGCCCTTCAAATGTCATTTAATTTTCTTTATCAACCATCTGCAGTCTACAAGTCTACAACAACTATAGAGAGAGAGGCCAAGCACCTACAGACAACACGAAGCCCTCCCATATACACACCGCAGAGTCCTGATCAGCACATATGATCATCGAGAACAGACCCAGAACCCCAACCTCCATGAATGTGCTGCACAAGCTTGGACCTAGAAACCAGACACCCCACTCTTTGACTGGAACAGTTTAAATCATCAACAGATCCCAAATCGAAAGATGTTCAATTAAAAATTTCCATCATCACTTTGACGATTACATACATATATACAAACAAAAATTAGAAAAAAAAATTATATTAGGCCAAGATTAGTTAACTATGAAAGTGTCTTCTTGCAAGCTCTGTTGTTGCTTGGCTATTAACATAATCTCTCTCCAAAAGGGGGAATAACAAAATGTTTTGTTTTTTCGCCATTGGCCACAAAACAACGAGAGATGAAAAAAAGTAATATTCTCGAATTATTCTTCCTTTCTTTTATTTGTTTACTGGTAAACAGTTTTGGGATGAGAAACAAAAAGGACTTCTTTGTCAAATAATTTTCGATCATCTCCTCTCTCTCTCCACTACTAACCATTTTCTTCCTGTTATCTGCACCTCCACCACCGTCGGAAGCGCTGCCTCCGTATTGAACCCCCACTCCACGCCCTCCGCCGAGACCCTAACGCACCACGCCCGCGTCCCAGAGACCAGACGCACAACAGCGCTTTTCATCTCTTTCTGTTGCTGTTGCGAAGTGGAGCCTCTCGCTCTGATGGCGGAGAAGAAGCCCTTGAGTCTCAACGATCGCCACAGTCGCCTTCTCGAAGACTTGTCTTCCCATTGCCAACCACATACCCACCTGCCATGAATCCCTATAGACACCCCCAATCACAGTTTTGTCTATATAAAACAGTCACAAGTTCGCCATGACCACCCTTCAGATTTCAAGAATTAACGTTCCAGTGTTCTACGGCCTATCCGGTGATCTTAGCAAGAAGAGAAGCTCCTTTGGGCTAAGATTCCTTCAACCCACCAATTGTTGTTCTCAATCAAGAAGAAAAGTCGGTTATTTCCAAGAGAATGCATTCAGATGGAGGGCTTCTGTGGAGAGATGGTCTTTGTTTGGGAAGAGCGTAGGGAAAGATGAGATTTTCATGAAAGAGAAGAAGGGGAGGAAGAAGAGGGATGTTTTAGTTAAAGTTAACCAGGGCTTTGGATTTAATGGTGGTGGTGGGGGCGGAAGAGATAACAACAACACTGTGAGGGTTTTGGGTAATCTTGCTTTGGCTATTGGATTAACTTATCTTTCGATGACAGGGCAGCTTGGTTGGGTTTTGGATGCAATTGTTTCGATATGGGTAAGTTGTCCTTTCTTCTTTTTAGGCTTTTGGTCCAGTTCAGGTGCTCATAGTTCTTGGATAAGCTTTTCTTAATGCACAGTGGGATATCAATTGCAACTTCTCTCGTTTATTTGTGTTGAGAAAATACTCTCACATGTCATTTGTTTGTGATTTTGGTTGCATTTGATTGTAGTATGTTTCACTGGGACTTTTACTTGTTAATAGTAGAGCTAGAATAGGTAACTATAATTTCGTAGGGCTGAGACCCTGAAGCATTCTTGTGAAAATAGCTCCATTGTGAAAAAGATGGTGGGATTAGCATGACTTAGATGGCTGAATCTCATTTTCACTAGAGGTCCTCCTTTAGAGTATTACATCTTAGATGTTTCTATAATTTCCAGCATTTCTTTCAGTACTTTATGATTTTTCCTATTTCCACTAGAAAGGTGCCTTGGCCAAAGGAACACTAATGAGTAAGCAAAGTTACAAAGGAACTCTCCTAATTATTATTCTTTCTATTTAGTTAATGATGTTTGCATAATCAATATTATGATTTTTTTATATTTCAACTCATTTTAGATGCTATTCCAGTCTTTTTTTTTTTTTTAAATAATTTCAAAGATAGCTAATCAATATAAGTATATGAACATATTATTCTTTCGTGCCTCTGGGGCTTAATGTATCCAACAACAATCTGTTTCTAGTATTCTGCTTCTAGCAGCCAATTCTGCATTAATCTCTGATTGCTTTGTCTCTCTTTCTCTCACCCTCTGGCTTTTGACTGATTCCACCATGCTTCTCATTAACAGCTTCTTGCAGTGCTGCAAGAACAGAGGGAGTGTTCTGTATGGGGAATATGAGAATATGTTGACTTGCATAGAAGAAAAAGAACAGAGGGAATCTTTTATTTAAGATTAATCTAGTCTTTGTTTCTGTGACTTTACAAAGACATTATCTTATGATTTTCCATCCATGAACACACCATGCCCATTACCCTCTTGATAGCCTCCTTCACTGAACCCTGTTTCCGTTTAAATATGCGAGCAGTCCTTTCTACCCACATTGCCCAAAATAATATTTCATGCTGCTTTACCACCTTTACTCAAACCTTTTAAATCCCATGCTCCTAGAAAACTTTTAAGCACATCTTCACCCCAAACAAATTCAGCATTTTTATCCATAATGGCATAAGAAAATTCACAATGTATCAATAAGTGGTCTTCTTTTTCCTTATTTGTGCCGCACGTAACACAACCAACATCATCCACTTCTATGCCCCTTCTGATTAAATTGTCCCTAGTCACAATCCTGTTCAAAACTGCAGTCCAAAAAAACTATTAGTAAGATAGCCATAAAAGTCTATTCAGAGAAACATGTAAAGATGGAACTACTCTTCCCTTCTCTTCCTTCTTAGAATGAGATGGTGAAAGGCATAATTTAGGGCATATGCTAGAGCTGTGCATACTCTGGCTTAGAGAGCTAAATCTTTTGACGATGTGTGTTATTGGTGGCATTATTCACCACCTATCTGGCTGGAACCTTATATTTGTAGTCTTTTTGTGTTTAATGAACCAATCAAAAAAATTAAGAGAGGGAGAAGCATATTTCTTTACAAGGAAACAACTAATAGTTTATAGGAAGAGGAGAGAATCATTTTTCTTTTTAAAATTTTCGAACTCTTTAAATCTATTGAGAAGAAAATGTGGTTATTCATACTATACCCCAAAAGTGCCTAAACAGGCTAATTTGAATTAGGAGCATGTACCACCAGTATGAATATTAAATATTTCAAATGGATGATTGCTTGATTCTCCACATAAGTATTGTCAGATACTGAGGTGTAGCATGAGTTTTTTTTTCGCTACAAAGGTGTAGCATGAGTTGTTCCACCTGTTTGAGGATTGAGGAACAAGCCTCATGAGCATGGATTTTTTTATTAAATAAATAAAGTGTATAAATAATAAGAACAATTTTAATTTATTTGTTGTATAATTTCATATAAAGACTAATTTAAGTTCTATAATTTTTATTAGTATAGTTTATTTTTATGAAATTTCTATGAGTGCATCACTGCTTAATTGATATTCTTAGAACTCCATTTAAAAAATATATATATATATATATTTTCTTGCAAAACAAATATTAGAAAGTGGATTTTCTCACAAAAATTTTCTCAGCAAACAAACACATTATAACTAACCGAGAAATTAAATTTTCCTCTTCTCATCCCATCCTTTCTCAGTCCAATTTTCTCAGCAATCATAAGTCACTGAGCTCACAATTTTCCCTCTACGCTCCAAATTCTAGATCAGAATCCCTCTACACCCTCTTAACGGGTGGACCCAGATTTTGGCACTGCTGATGCAACTTTGTCAGGTACCGGTCGATTGAGGAAAAGGAAACAACGGTGGCATCAGACGATCAACATCAGTTCAGCGGTAGATTCGCCTCAATGTTCACATGAGATCAAGCTGAAGAGAGATACACCTAACACTGTATAGCATTCTTGTTGATCTTGAACCCAGGGATGACGGTGAAAGTCACATTGGGGTTGCTGGATGAGAAGAATGCATCGTTGTTTACAGACTCATTTATTTTGGACTCTTGGGTTTGAAAGTTTGGGTTCTGTTTCATTCTCTTGAAAAAGAAGATGATGAACAATATATTTTATTTTTAAGGATAATTTTAATATTTTCAATAGTTTTAAATGGCACATGAGATGATGTAATATACATAACTAACGGTACATTAATAATAGATATTAAATTGTTGCATTTAAAAAATTTAGGTAGTATATTGTTGCATTTTAAAGTTTGGATAGTAAATTGGCACCCGAAAACTTTATTGGTTTGGACCCATAGTGGGAAAAGAATTATTGCCGTTCGTGGAGTTGCTATAGTGCTACCTACCGCACAGAACCCTGCAACCAGTCAACAACCTTTTCGTGTAAAGTCGCAAAAAAGTAGTTATGTACTGATAAATCAACGTTTAATGTCTCAAAATTACATACTTAACAAGGCAATCGACCTATTCGTCTAAGCTCGTGGGGTTGGTTGCAAAGTCTGGTACACGTACAACCAAGTGAACCAACTAACCAACCTTCCCAAGTACTGGGAAGCTTGCTAATTTCCGGCAATGTCCCTGACCGGAGTTTTTGCCGGGATATTCCTCCTGTTGGCTCTTTACTGTGGAATCGACCCCTTTAAGCACAGCGCTATTTACGATTTCCCAGATTTTGTAGCTCACAAAATCGACTTGCCACCCTGGTCGGATATTCCAGTTGAGAGGGACAGTCAGAATCTGTTACAGAAAGCAGAGATTAAGTTTCTGAACCAGGTGCAAGGCCCTGAAAGCGTCGCGTTCGATTCCCTCGGTCGGGGACCTTATACTGGGGTTGCCGACGGCCGGATTCTTTTCTGGAACGGCGAGTCCTGGACTGATTTCGCTTATACTTCCCCAAATAGGTGAGTTGGGTCGTTTTCTTTGCTTTTTCCTCCATGTTTCGATCTTCTGAGTTTGTAAACCGTACAATACTGTTCTCCAACATGAATGTTCTTGTTTTTCACGTTCTTGAACATATGGTTTTCTTTCAGAGGGTTCGGCTATGATACCGGAAAAGCTTGCACCCATCAACCGGAAAGACATTATTAAGAACACCCCCTAGTGTTCTAATATTTCTGGGGTCAAATAGGACAAGACGATTTCTGTGTTTAGAATTAAACTTGATTTTAGCATGTACTTTGTGCATATCATATGCTTTTAAGCTTAAGTTTTTTTTTTTTTTTGGTTTTCTTTGAATGGTTTAGACCTCGAGGTTTTAATTTTGTTAGAAGAGGGTTATTCTGCAACTTGTAATCTTTTAACATGAAGGAATTGCAAATGGTAATTAGTATGAGACGGGAAGATATGCCATACTGGGAAAGATAACACTATTCATTCAACCGGGTTCGGCCAGTTGACGAAGATGATGGGGTTGGTCAATATATGCTACTTTGTAATTAACTTATAAATTAGCAAGTAGTAACCAACAATCAATGAATTGAATATAATTCCCAAAAGAAATATGGGACTGAAGTTAATTGGATCTATCTTTTTTTTTCATAAATTCTCTAATGTTTAACACTGTTTTTTAATACTTTGATAGCTTTTGAGATAAAAAATATCCACTCTTACCAGATTTTACTTCTATTTAAACTTTAAAATATATGGGAAATAGTTTGTTAAGGAATTTGGACAACCCCTTTATATGAGTCACGCATCTAAATCCTTATAGTCCCTAGTCTCTCCATCTCTTCTCTACCTGTTCTTAACAAAGTAATATAAGCTAGAGAGTAGCTTAACAGGGAGGGGCTTAATTGTTCAAAAGCAGCCATGGCAATGATGGAGGACAACAAAGGGAAGGGCATAACCTTTCTGGTTGGTCAACCTCCAAGAAGCTCTTAATGGTTGCTTCAAATAGATAATACTGCCCAAGGGTATGGAATTGTATAGCCAAATCAAGTTTTGCCAATTGCGTCTTATCCAAAAGTCTGATAACACATGGAAACACATAAATGAAGATTTATGTCAATTTGGGTTTTCTTAACTTGTACACAGAAACAACAATCTGGAGAATTTTTCTTGTTCTTTTAGCTTCTTAAATGCTTTTATCCCCCAGTTGTATTTTCACTTAATATCTTTTGCCATATGTATCTGGGTTCAGGTCAGAATTATGCAGCCCAAAGCCATCACCAATGAGTTACTTGAAGAACGAGCACATCTGCGGCCGTCCACTGGGGCTTAGATTTGACAAGAAGACAGGAGAACTTTACATTGCTGATGCATATTTTGGGTTGATGAAGGTGGGGCCAGAAGGTGGGCTGGCAAAATCACTTGTTACTGAGGTGGAAGGGGTTCCGTTGAGGTTCACTAATGATTTGGATATTGATGATGAAGGAAATGTCTATTTTACAGATAGCAGCATCAAATACCAGAGAAGGCAAGGTCTTTCTAACACAAATATACTTATCACTTATCAGTGGCTATTATACATGTCATGAATGCATTTGATGTGGATAATTTTTTTATTATGGTTGTTACTCTAGTTGCTTCCTCATGTTTTCTGGAATGTACCCCAAAATCATCACTGGGTTCTACTTTACAAGGAATACTGAAGCCTAAATGCTTCATGGCTGTGCGATACCTAGGTGCACTTGGAAGAGGATTGGTTTCAATCTTTGATTGCTGCTAAGAGGACATCCTAAGAATTTTGACTGAATGATCAAGCATTTGAGTTGCCACATTCTTTTGGGCAGTGAGATAGAATCAATGGATGCTAAATCTGAAATGTCAACAAGTGACTGCCATGTTGTTGTTTGCTCCAGTATTTTTGTCTTAGGATTGGTTATCACTCTTTGGACTAGTAAACTATACCTTTTTCAGAGTTTCATCAAACCAACTTCAGACATCCTACGTTTTTTTCTTACACTTTTCTCCTACACTTCCATTCAGTGTAGGTATTTACACATTAATAGGTATTTAGCACGTGTAAGGGGACAACTGTCATAGACTGGATGGGAGTGTAGGAGAAAGTTGAGGAAAAAGTATAGGAGATCCTGACCCCATCAAACCTGGTTCATGAAATAGCTGACTGAATTCTAAAAGTAGGTTTGTTTGGCTTAGGGATGCTTGTGACTCTAAAGTTCAATATCCCAGGCAGATGAGAAGTTGGCATATAGAAAAACAAGTCAGTCATTCCCTTGCTTTTCTCTTGTCTCCTTTTTTGATGAATTAATGTCCAAATTTGTATATATATTTTTTTGTCTTTTAGTTTTCTTTGCACCTTCTAGTAATATTTAATTCCCAAATTTGAGGTAATTGGTTTTATGATGTTTTCTATTTTTGAGTCCCTAGGAGTGGCTAAAAGAGCCTCTTGAAACTTTAATAGGATCGAAGTATTTAAGAGAAACAATAGTAGTAATTCCACTGTACTGTAATATATTATTGTGGGCTATGGCTGATTCTTTGACTAAACAAGGGGTCTCAAGGGCTGAATTATTTTGGGCTACCTTATGATTGTATCTTGTTAAGAGTGTGTTTATGTTCTCATCTCTAGGGGGGGGGGTAACATCTTATGCCTCCTCTTAGGGTGAATGTATACTTTCTTCCATAAGTAATAAAATCATTATTCATTTATAAAAAAAAATATTATTGCGGGCTGGCCAGGCTAAAAATGGTCACCCCTAATCTATACCATATATAAAGTGTGAATGAAATGTGAAACTTTTTTTGGACTAAAATTACCCTCTGCTTCTTTGTTTAAGAAAGGGTATAAAAATCCTTTTATTATAGCTTTAGTGGATACTAAAATGCCTATATTTGTGTATTTAATTCATCTCTAATTGTAATGGTTGAAAATGTAACTTCAATTATTACTTTCCACCTCATTATCCCTTCTCATTAAATCTTATACTTAAGGCATTAAATGCTATACTTAGAAGTTATTTTCACTAAAAAATGCTACTAATTAACTCTATGTCAATATTTTTAATAATATAAACCCATATATTTTAAAATCGACTAAAAACAAACCATTTTTTATCAAAGTGGTGGCTAAGTAATTCAACCATCCGAATCAAATTGATCAACCATCAATTTAAATCTTACATTTTTTTTTGATAAATGAACAATAGAAAAAAGATACTCCCAAAAGAGAAAACACTACAAAAAAGAAGAGTTTAGCCAAGCAAGTAGGCTTGCCAATGATACTTGAAACCAATGTTTTCGAATCAATGTTAACCCGAATGGTTAGATTGTTTGGCTCGGGAATTGTCTAAGCAACCGGTTTCATTTTACCCCAAACCCGGTCCCTGGCCAAAAAACTGTTGAATTGGTCAATGACCCTGTTAGTGTAGGGGTATTTATGTCTTTATACTTATGTTGAGGTTGCTGATCTGTAATATTATATTAGAACTAGTGTCCCTCACTTAAGTAAGGGCACGTGTCTTTTCCATTATGTTAGTAATATAAAACATGTTTGGCCAAATGGGAGGTAATTTTTTTCTCATTCGAACCAGACTTTTCTTCTCTCCTTTTCTCCTCTTTTCTCTCTCTCTTTCTCTCTCTCTCTCTTTCTTCTTTCTTCTTCTCTCTTCTTGGCTGTTATCAGACTAACAAAACTCAAGGGCAAGTCGAATCATAATATGGTATCAGAGCACAACTAAGCACTCAGATCTGCCCAGATTTCTGTTTTCTGCGCACTCAGTCTAGAGTTTTCTCTTGATTCCTCTGCCATCGATTGGAGATAAGGGAAAGGGTTGAAAAGGGGTGGTCGCCTCTTCCCTTGGAGGTCTCTATGCCTCCAGTTGTGCTGTTCATGGTCGGTTGCTGTGGTTTCTAAGAAGCCCTCCCCTAATCGATGAAGAGAAGAGGGCTGATTCGTGTGGTGCAGTGGGTGTCT